ACCTGGTGACCTCCCAAACAAGCATTGTGGGGCACTACACTAACACCTCTCACAAGTTTGCGTGTGGGCCTGTGTTTGGCAAGCAGGCAGGGTTATCTCGCAGTCAGTGGACCACCCACTTCATCATCCACTGATAGCTCAGGCTGGGAGCAGCAGTCTTACGCCACTATGTCATCCAGGCGGGGTGTTCCTCCAACGTTACTAAACTGGTGTACTAAAATGCCCAAACCTAGCCATCCCAAGAACCCACCAATAGAAAACTCGCAATGCGTCAATTTCGCAAACCACTAACATTTCTTGTACATCAGTTTTTGGTTTTAGGTAAAGTATGCGTCAAAATGCGACGTGTTTTCTAGGAGAACGAGCCGAGATATCACAAATTAAACACTGAAAACGCTATTTTATATCCACTTCTTTTGAAAATTTAAAAGGTATTCGTTTTCAAAATTGTTGCAACCTAAGTACGACCGATTCTTCAATGCAAGGGTGGCAAACTCCTCCGTTATACAGTAACTCAAACACTTAACATAATAATCGTCTACCGGCTACAAAAACAAACAAGAATGAGAGTAGAGTTCTGATGTGATAAACCATTCTCAAAGCGCCACTTGAAGCAGCGCGATCACACTTTGCGTCACTTCTCTTTCCTGCCTTAACACGAAGGAAGAGAAACAAAAAAATACACGTTTTCATTAACCCTAAGAACCTTCCACAAGCTACAAGTAGGTAAGGAGTCATATACCTGGCCTTAGCCACTTCCACATACAATAACAGCAGCCCCACCATTCCGTGGCTCCGAGGCGCCTCCTTACCTGAGCCCGTGTACTAGGTGACGAAGCTTTGGGTTGCCATTGTAGAAGTGCGGGAAAGAGAAGGCAACGGACGCACCGAAGTAACACGGCTTCATGTCCAGCACACCATTAATGGGACACCCTTGCTTGCCGCAAAAGCAAGAGTTCTCTGGGTGTGCACGGCCATAGGTGAACATGTCCTCCGGGTGCACGAAGCGATAGGCCTCAAGTCCACCGTGGGAGACGGTACTATTGTACACTAGCGGTAGCGAACGACACAGCTGACCGTTGAAGATGTACAGTGTTTCGTTCTTGGAAAGCCCCGGAGGGAACCCGTTGGCATCAGTGCCCCGAATCATGTTACACTCGTCTCCGTACCAGAAGTGGAGCACCTCGTGTCCATTCCAAGCTAAAATTTTGTTAATTTTGGCCGAGTCTCCCTTGCCGGTGTGCATGACGTATCGCGGTTGAAGGGTGTTGTTGAGCCCCATCAGGAGGCCAAACAGCTGGTGTGGGTAAGGCAGTTCCTGGAGGGTCCTTGCCCAGTCTAACACCCGTGACTTATGACCCCACAAGAGCTCGCCTACACGAAGTGTTCTGATAGTATTGAATCCATACATCTTTTTGACCATCTTTAGCACGGTCTTAACTGCCTCCTCGTCCTTCACCAAATCTGCAGCATTAACGAAGGGTATGTTGACAGTGGTAATCATATCATCCTCGCTCCCTGATGATAAATCTTTTTGGAAGTAATACATGGGCCTACCCTGGTACTCAACCGTGCCATCGTCCCGATACACCACGTTTTCTTTCACTTCCTTCATAGTGTACACATAGGGTCCCACCTCTTGAACTCTGGGTCGCTCCCCCGCCATGAACTGCCTTGGGTTTGTCAAGTTGAAGATGTAGACGGTGTAGTGGACGTTGATCTCAGCCGTCTTCCACATACGGTCTTTCTTGGAGCCCTCTGACATGATCATGGTGTCCATTACCCCAACTTGCACCACCACGTCCCACCACGCCAACACAGCCAGTAGAATGCTCAGAAACAGCAGCATCAGCGCCAAAAGGATCCACCAGCGACAGCAACAACACCTGCGCTTACGTGGGTAATAATATGTTTCATCGTAATAGTAGTCAATCAGTTCATCTGAGCGCTGTCTGCGGCGTCGCCTGTTCTTGGCATCACTGGCACATACAAAACACTTTACCCTCTCGGTTCCCATATGAGCTACCAACACTTCTTCAGTCATATCTTCCTCCTCGGCCTCCCCCTCACTCATATATTCTTCCTCCTCAGCCACTTCCGTTTCAGTTTCCATCATCTCTACGTTGTCCTTAGTCTCCCTCATTTTTGTTCCCTCCAGGTCTTGGCTCCACTCCATCTTTTATTATCACTTAATAATTTCCCGCTAATAATACTTCATGGGGATGTGTTTCGATACCCGATGATCCGACTGACAAAGCGACGGACACCTGTCGCCCAGCTGCACACGCCCTGGTGTGGTTTATGTACACAAGATCCCTACACACACACAGGACTGTTGACGTGTTGCGCCAACCATCTCAGGCAGACACCACTGAGCTCATAGAAACAGTCAATCCTGGCCCGTGCTGGATACCACTGTCGCTGAATGCTCTTTATTTAAATTCCATGGGTGTAAGACACTGCTATGTATTGGTGAAGGCCAGGATGATGCACGCTACAGCATCACAACAGAGTTACATCACTTTATTGGCAGTCGGAACCAAAGAGCTGAAGCTCAAACCCCGCAAGCATAACTACGTGAGTACAGTTGTGTCTGCCGCCAGTACAATCTTTGGTATAACACGTCACGTGATCACAAAATACACCACTGGATTCAAAACAATGTATCGGTGTTGTTCTGAGGTTCACCATACATTACTAAACACGTGACAATGTACCGGTGTTCTTCTGAGGGTCACTATACACTACTTAACACGTGACAATGTACCGGTGTTCTTCTGAGGGTCACTATACACTACTGGACACGTGACAATATACCGGTACTCTTCTGAGGTTCACCATACACTACTGGACAGATGAAGTGAGCCGCTATTGTCCCGGGGGTTTACCGAACAATGCCAGACACGTGACAATGCAGGGAGAACATTGTCACAGACACCTTATATTACACCATTAGCGAGTGAGCCAGGAGCACTTTAACACAACACCCAACAGCACCACCGCCGACACACTGGCCGTCACAGGGGGGAACCAAGCAGACACAGCCGTGTCCCCCCGCCGTTATCACCACAATACTGATAATAGCCTGAGGTGTTGCCCCGTTTACTAACTCGCGGGATTCCTCTCCCATCGGGTGTCACGCGGGGAAATGCCAGACTCGTAACACCTGGACAGCCAGCACCTGCCTGCCGGAGGTTCCTGTGGGAGTCCTGTGGGTGGAGCCTCAACATGAGCGAAGGACACAGGTGATGCATCGCCGCTGACGCACCAGTCCGGTATAAACAGACCTATCACACTTCCCACTCCACGCGCGCAGGAGGTACTCCATTATCCGGCTTCTGACGCTGTGACGCCTAACTCCCAACGCGACAAATCTCCCCCAACGTTAACTTCCTCCGTGGATGAAAATGAACTTGGTCAAAGACATTCTAAGCTGTACGAATCGTCCGCGATGTCCGCGTCGATTAATGTCTGGGAAGTGACTGAGAGAAACGAGGAGGTTGTGGAAGCCGAAAGTCGAGACGGTGTGGATCGTCTGAGCTCATTACTAACACTGAAGGCACGCTAGCTAAAACCAGGGCTGACTGATAACACGATCTCGCCATGACGAGCCGCATCTGAATCATAACTCATCGCCGAAACAGTTAACACCACGAAGGGCAAACGAATTACATGATAACACGGAGTAAAAAAAAAAAAGATAAAAAGAAAGGAAAGAAAAACAGAATTAAGGCTGGAAGAAAGTGGGGGGGGGGGGAAGATATATGAAGTGTTATGCTTGAGTCTTGCGCTAGGCTCGTGTTTTTAGTGTGTTTTACTGTTTGGCTTGTTGTGCTATGTTTATATTTCACTTGTGCTTGACTTGTGCTCCAATTGTTTTAAGCGTGTGCTTGAGTCATGAACTAGGCTCGCGTTTATAATACTTTTTTCCTTAATGCTTTGACAGTTTAAACTTTTAGTTCCCAGTAGGCTGTCAATAGTAACAATAAATATTATCAACATTTATAACCAATTTATTTTTATAAAGAAAGTCGGACACATCATTTGGTGAGAGAGTATGTAGCAAGATTATTTAACTAACTGGCCTTAACGTATTCTCTAAAAACGATATTACTCCTTGAAAATGTGTTGATAGGGGGATGAGGGGGTAGGTTAGGGGATGAGGGGTGGGTAGAGGATGAGGGGTGGGTAGGGGGATGAGGAGGTAGGTTAGGGGATGAGGGGTGGGAGGGGATGAGGGGTAGGGATGGAGTGAGAGCAGTGAGGTGAGGGGGGGGGGGGAGGGTTACACAGATGGTGGCGGGAGAGAGCAGGTGATCGTAATACATTACGATATTCCTTACCATTCTGAGAACGTCCAAGACACACGAGTCCCACACACCACCACCACCGACGGCAGCAAGTATTCCTTGTATATTGCTCTAGGTGTTGCAACTTATAGTTGTTAGCTGGTCTTTTGCCAGCCGTAAGCAAGAGGTAAAGAGGCATGGAACTAGAAACCCCCAAAACTAGGTATAGTAATCACTAATCAGTGACCCGCACGGGTGGTCCATATGTAAACAATCCTATCGACCCACACACGATGGTTCCAATAAAAAACATAACGTCCAGGAAACAGAAGCACACAACAGGAACTAAACCCAAGGCCTCAAGAATTCCGCCGAAGGTGGAGATAACTGAATTCAACACTTAATTAAACTGGTAGTCTACAATAAACACCATATAATTAACACCCCCTCTTTAAAAGCTATACAAGTAGTTTCCAGGAATCAGCGGTGTTCCTTGGTTGGTACATTCGTGGCTGAGTGTCTGCAGGTCGACCAAGCGAGAGTGACACTGAGGGCCGCCGCTCATCCAGCCGTCGGAGTTGCGGTAACATTTTCCGGCGTCGAGAGCAGGGTAATGGAAACCTACATGCTGACTAAGTCAACACAAGGCCACCATACTTTATATATTATATATTATATATATATTATATATATAATCTTATATATATATATATTCTTATATATATATATAATCTTATATATATATATATATCTTATATATATATATCTTATATATAATATATATATATATTATATATATATATAATCTAATAATAATAGAGAGAAGGGAGAGAGAAAGAGGGGGGAAGAGAGACAAACCAGAGTAAACCTTAGACTAAACTATATATATATACGGTGCAGGCAGACCCTCAAATTGTTGATAAAAACTGGGAGTTTCCTCAAACACCTGGGAGTCGGCAAGGTTAGGTTAATAATTTCCTGTCATAAAGAACATTCAAAAAGTTGAGCTTGGCCCCCCCAAAAAAAGCTATGAACCGAGAAGGCAATTTAGACTGTGACCATGGTGGTTGTGGATTCCCCGAGCACAGATGCAGAGACCAAGTCGGCCAATGTCACTGCTGCATATGCTGAGCGCATGCGTAGTGTGTCCCAGTATACAACGAGACGTGGAGTAATATTGCAACTACAGTCAGTCTCTCCTCGAGATTAACAATCTGATTTACGGTCTGCGCTCAAGGCACCGATGTGTGTGTCAAGTGTGGTGGGAGAGCACCTGGTTGCTTCCCAGTTGCTGGTGGAGTGAGGCAAGGTTGGTGTGTGTGTGTGTCCTTGTTCCACTGCTGATAAGGCTGTTGTAGGTGTTACAATCAACATTATCCTCGTCACCACATTTCTGTTTCCTCTTGTAACATAGCCATGACAAAATAATTTGTCATGGCTACGACAAAATAATTTGTCATGGCTACGACAAATTATTTGGTCATGGCTATTTCAAATTTATAATTTAAAATATTTGACTCAAGTCACTCGACTAGATCAGAGAGGATGCAACAAAATGGATAATGACAAGTATGTCAGGTACTAAACAAAGAGTTCCAGGAAGTGTTCTAACTAGAACCTGAGAATTTGCTAGAGGTAGAGGATAAGAAACTAGTGTGTGAGTAACATGTATGTTAAACCAGATGAAGCCAACCAGCAGCTCAAGATTCTAAACATGCTGGGACTACACAGATTTTACATGTATGCTAAAGAACGCAGCTAAAACTCTGAGCAAGCCTCTTTCATTAAATTACAACTTTCCACTGAAGAACTGAAAAATACACTACTAGACTACCGAAAGACTACCAATGCCACACACATATAAGAAGAGGGATAAATAGGAGGCACTAAACTACAAGACCTTATTGTTGCAATGAACACTCATCATGACCCGTTCGAGAAATTAATCAGGTGACTAATGGAAAACTTAACCCAGCAAATTCTGTGACAAAACTTCAACATTGATTCACAGAAGCCGTATCTAACAAAATGTGCTACACTGCTATTGCAACATATCAGTGACCACATGAAATTGAAAGACGGGTCGATTGGACCTATCACCGGATGAACATATTAACTGGATACTATCAGCAGTGTATGCAAAGTTAGTGAACACTAGTATTGACGAAGGAGAAATACTCCATACCCTTTGCTGCTATGCACTAACGAGGAATCAAAACAATCTTACATAAATGATTATTTTGACCTTGTATCATCAAACCAGAATAATTGAGTCAAGGTGGATTAAACGGGTTCATCCTGTATCCGACTACGAGTCATTATGTCATTTAATCGTCCACATTCAATGACTATTATATATAAATGAGCAACATATTCAGGTACGAGTTGTTGTATATTTGCCATCATAAGCGTCATTCGACAGCATAGAACTCGCACACGTTTGAGCACTTGTATGCAACAATCGATACCATACTCGAGAATAAATTTGTTCACTCTGAATGATGTTGCTGTCACGGATGTTGCCTCGTCATATATATTAACTTATTAATTAACTGATATAAATCTTGAGAATACTGTCTATATACATTCTGATTTGATGAAGGTGAATTAAATAAAGCTATATTCAAAATGAGTGAAATCAAATAAGCAAACTTTTGACGGAAAAAGTCAAACAAATCAGTTCCATAAGCTGTCAAGCACTGTTCCTTGGCGACCATTTCTTATCTTCATATCCAACACGAAAAAAAAACAAGGTGTCATCTGTTGCACTAGGCCTATTCCAAAAATAAATTAACAAAATGCTTCGGCAGAAAATAATGAACAGTTTCGCTTAAGTATCAATAGTTGTCCAGTACAGTATATAGATGTAATGAATGGAAAATAACATGATATTTAGATGTGAGAAATTTTAATTAATTCTTCACTAGGCCTACAGAAAAAACAAAAGACTGGTGAAACTGAGGCAACATGTAAAGAACCAATGAATAAATACTATCAGACTACTTAACATTTAGGACGCACAAGTGATAGGTTTAATTATTCGACCTATCAAAATAAAGATGCCCCACCAGCCCACTTGTGCCCTCGTTTAGAATGTTGTTCTGCGCTCAATACTTTACAGATATAGTTGATTGCTGGTATATACACACACTAGCTTAAAGAATTTGAACTGCTCGAGGTCCCCTTTGCACCCGGAGTGTCCCTCATCACTTAAAGGGAAAGGAGAGAGGTCTACGGCAGGTGTAGGTACAACGAAACTTATTCACCCGAAATGTATAATTAGCATATTGGTGAAACAAGAGTAGTCGTCTTCAAGATGGAACTGGACAGACTTGTTTGTTGCCGCCTCCGGCGGCTAGTTTATTGTTCAACCCCACACACATCCTGTGAGCGGTCGCACAAAAAAAAAAAAAATTACAGAGGGCATAAAAGGTCTTAATCAGACCTCTTGGAAAGGCAGATATTTACATTAACAATTACATTTACCCTTCACACCTTATAATTATAATGTCAGATAGTTATAAGTAATTTTTCATTACAACATCTATGTATCTCAAATAAATATTTATACATTGATGGCATGTCCTTTGCCAATACTGTACAAAATATTTTATAAATGGGGTATTACAGGATCATAGAAGAGGTGCTGTTTATTGTTATTAGTATTCACCTACTAGAAGCGAAGTATGAATACAGGGCAAGGATTTCACGTATTTTATCCTTTGTAATAAGATGGTTTGCCATTTCATGCAGCTTGGATTTAGATTTCTCTAAATGGCTCAGTTTTTTCAGTTTAACATGTAATGTTCTAACGTGTGTGTACACGTCTTTGTTCACACACTTTACTTCATCTACATCCATATAGCCGAACTGCCTGATGTACCTGTAGCCAGTCATATCTGAGCTGAGACAACGTCTATTGGGCTACTGATTTTGTTACTTGCCCCATACACATGTTTTGTTTAACATATCTCATTGTGACAAACACTGGATCTGCTAGTTCCTGTTTGCACTATTTTTACTTTCTTCAAATTTATCTAAAAGTTATCTTTTTAAGGGATCTATGTGATAGCCCAAGATTACGTTCAACATTGTCTCTATTCACTGCAAGCCTAGCAATGACATCAACTTTATCATGTTCCTGCAGCCCAGTGCGAGATGGTATCTACAACATTTTATTTTTGACCCTCTTATGAAGAGTGCATATACATATATAAATGTCTGACTTCGAAACAAGTGCCAAACATCCATCCGTTGTGTGGACTACTAGCT